GAAAGAAATCAGGAGACTACTGCAGTGGTAGTGCTGACTGTGGAGAATGTGGGATCAGATGCCAGAGCTTCTGACTGACTTAACGAGTGCCTGTGTGTGGAGCGTGGGGATGCAGTTGAGGACGATGCCCGTCTGTCTGCTGGACCAGCTGGGTGGATTGTGATAGCTCTCCCTCAGGAAGTAACAGCTGGGGAAAGTTTCGTTTGGTTCTGAGCTTACTGATCAGAAGAGTTTTAGACTGAAAAAATATCAGTATAGAAGGCAGATGAAGTGATGAAAACAAACGCTATTGCCCAGGACAACCATGTGGTGTGAGGGAAGAAGAGGGCCCAGTGGGTCTAGCAAACAACACTGATAAAGCAGCAGGAGGATAGCCAACAGAAAATGGTTTTCCAGACTCAGGAGAGTGATTAACAGTGGCATTTAGGCTCAGAGGCCTAGATGAATATGCTGAATATGATCATTTGAAGTCTACAATGACTCTAACTTCAGATTTAGTGTTTTAATGGACAGAAGCTTTGTTGTAGTTGTTTGAAAGTGAATGGTTGAGGTATATGGGAAGCAGTTATGTGCTATGTTTTCAAGAAGTTTAGCTTTCAGTGAAGCTTAAGGAAATTACAGAATCATGGTGAGAATTTTTGTCTTCTGTTTGTTTTTGTACTCAAGTAGAAAGATTTATGCATATAGCCTGTAGGGAAGCAGCCAGTAGAGAATTTGGAAGTTTTACGTATATCCCCAAGGGAACATCTAAAGGGATTAATCTTGACTAGAAGGATACGTCTTCCTCTGGCACTGAAAGAAAAGAGACCAGGGTAGGTGCATGAGGTATATTCTTCCATGGATTTGGAAATGAGGATTTCAGGGGGTTCAAGACCAAATCTTCTGTCTGAAGTAAGGAAATACCTGGAGAGAGAAAGGAGGTGAAGGTTTGCATTGCATTGAGGTAAACTGACGTTCCCTGAGGCATTATTACTGGGTAAGTGGTGTGACCCAGGACTAGATCTTAGTTTTGAGCTTCACAGGGGGATAATATCAGTAATCTTTGACCCACCAGTCCTTGCTATATGTATCAAAGGCTCAAAAAGTCTTGATTAAAAATGACAAAATAAAGCTTCTCTGTGGCTGATCCCAACTTGAATTGTGGTTTAGTTAATGCAGTGGTGATGAACTGACTTGTGGGGGGGTGCGATTTGTAGCACTTTACCCCAACGTAAAGAATTTCTTTTTAATTCATAGTGTTTCTTTCTAATCCCTCACTTCACTGTACCAACTTGTAAGGAAATCATCTGGGACCTAAAGACATGTTTGAATTTCTCTTTATGACATCATAGCCTGCTCATTTCTTAGGTTTTACTAACTTAGAAATCACAGAAATGTAAGCGGCTCTTAGAACTTACATTATGAGAATGTTGAGATACCTGACTTCAGATACCTTGAATCTTACTTTGGCTCAAGTTTTCTGTTTAACATGTTCTTTAATATTAGGATTGTAATTTTTATAACAGACATATAATTTGCAACAAAACATTTCCTAAGTGTTGGTTTTTGAACGATCTTCCAATTAAAATATTCTCTGCATTGTTTGAATTTAGTGTGTAAAATAGACAGCTGTCTGAAGGGAGGGGGTCAAATTTTTTTAGCATAAGTATATAGACAGGATTAGTATCTTTTCAGTTATTATTTAAAGCCAATTTAAAGTGTGTTCACAGTTTTAAACTTTACAAACAATTCTTCAGGTGAGTGTAACTTATAAAGTCAGCTAAAATGATTAGACTTGTAAGTATATATAAAAATAAGTGTTGTATCTCTCCCAATGGCTTCAAAATTAAATCACTAAAAGGTAAACTATTGTTAGTCTGTTTAGTTTTGTGCGTTCAGTTTTAGGTTAGAGCTGCGACTTTTTTAACATGAAAATTAACCCCTCCTAGAGAATTAGTATTTGAATATTTTACACAAAGCTGTTTATACCCTGAAAGAGTAGGCAAAACAGTTCTGTGATTAACTTGGCAGAAGTTCTAGGTGTTTTTTTTTCTTTTTCTCTATTATGAATTTCATTAAATTTTTATGTTTTTAGTTTTCTACAGTATGGAGGTATTAAACTGACTTTGGCAGACTGTGGTTTTTGCGTGAAGCAAGCAGAAAAGTGTGTTGTGAAAAGAGGATAGATTGTTGTAGGGTAGACTATCTTAGCCAACTTTCTGTTGTTGTAAAATTATTAAGCAATTCTTTTCCACAGCATATATTTCAAAAATAGATATTGCTTCACTCTATTTAATGGTTGTTATTATTTTTCTTCCTCTAAATGAATTAGTGAATATATGTAAGCTAGCTTTGAAAATACTTTGAGTTCTAATTTCAAATCACTATAATAATTAATAATTTTCCCACAAAATTAGAATTGAGTTATCTGCCCTATTATGTTGCCACATATCACTTCATGGACATCTGAACAGTCTCTAAAGTAATGTGTTAAGAAAGAGCAGAATTCACAGTGAAAAACAATGTGACAATGAATATATGTATGTTCATGTATAACTGAAAAATCGTGCTTTACAATGGAATTTGACACATCATTGTAAAATGACTATAACTCAATAAAAAAAAGTGAAAAAAAAAGACATTCAGCATTACTAGTCATCAAGAAAATGCAAATCTGTACAATGAGATATCATCTCATACCTGTTAGGATACCTATTATTAAAAAGTCAAAAGAAAAAATGTTTTAACCAGGATGAGAAGAAAAAAAAAACCTTGTGTGTTGGTAGTAATATAAATTGGTATAGACATTATGTAATACATGAAGGAAGTTTCTCAAAAAATTAAAAATAAAATTGCCATATAATAAAGCAGAATTATAAAAATACTTAGGAAGAACATGTAATTGTAGATTATAGTCTTTTTTTTAACAGCATTTTATGTAAAAAGAATGTCATGTCTTTCTGTTTAATCCTATTCTAGTCTTCCTGCTATACATTTTTGTTTTAGCACAAGTAAATTTCTGAAGAGAAAGACTGAAAAGCAGATTTGTGCGTGTGTGTTTGTGTGTGTGTCCCCAGCATGCACCTGTTCTTTTGCACCAGATTTCAAAATGTATTATTTGACATGTAGAATAATAATTTTCAAGAACACAGAAGTAAATCTGAAAAATGATTCTAAAAAGAGAAGTAGATTAAATAGTTAAGTGATAAACTTATCATTTTGTATGAGTACTTCCACTTAAAAGCATAGACTCTGAAGAATTTACCACATTATCACCCTGCATCACGTATTTCTAATTACCCTTACTACTAGCAACGTTAGTAACTGATATTTATATAGCATTTGACTTGTATAGCACTTAATGGTCCCCTTTGCCAACATACTCTATTTAATCTATTTCTTATTTAATACGTGATTTAGTGCTTTATGGTTAGCCTGTGTGAATAGCGCTTTATGATACCAGTTCATCATTACTGTTCTTCAGGCACATTCCCTTTGAAGTATACATGCTATTTTTACTATCTCCATTTAAAGGTGGAACATAAAGTTCAACGAGTTAGGTGGTTTCATTGTTACTTTAGCTATTGTATCAATATAGATAGTCAACGTTAATTTTGGTCAGTATTTCATAATGCCTCCTGATAGAATTTTTAAAACTGGATAATCTTTCTTAGCATTGATGTGGTATTTGATCCCATCAGACTTCTTTGAAAAATACTTTTATTTTTTATAAGATGATACCATAACCTTAGATACCTTAGAACTATATTACCATATTATCTTAATTAATTGACTTTATTCACCAGCTTATCTGAATCTCTTTGCTTCAAGAGAAAAACTTAATCTAAGATATACATTTACTATCACTGTTTGCAAGAAGAGAAGCATTTACAAACATGTAAATAATGGGTCAGATAAAGGGCATATAACCACAACCCACTGCTGTCTTAAACAGAACATCAAAAGGGAATTTTTAAATACTAATACGGTGGAAATCCTCTGTGTAGTTTTGATTATTAAAAGGAGAGAGTGAGAGAGAAAGGAGCTATTTTCATATACTAATATTTATGTACCATAAACTATCACTGAACAGTTTGTTAATTCACAGATTACTTTTTTACAGTAAATTAGACATGCAAAAACTGTTCCAAAATTTTTAAAATTAGGTCATATTTTATTGTCATTTTTGAAACTGATAAAAATAATAAAGCTACAGTGAATGATTTATTAATAATGACCAAGAGAATAGCTCACTGCTGAAATTAAGTCTGAGTTGCAGAGTGAATTTACTAATTTACTAAACATTTAAAACATTTTCTGTGAACTGAGTTTTTCTATAATAGCTGTAGTTGATTTCTGTGGGACCATTGTACCCAGACACTTAGAATAGGATTTTTGTATTACAGAATATTGTATTTACTTACAGAAATTTCGCTCGTTTACTGTTTTAATGCTGTTTTTTAAAATTGTCTTAAGAATAAGGTTCTTTTGATGCAGTGGAAGTTATTTCACTTGGCAAGTTAGGTTACAGCTGTCTTATCTATGTCACCATGATGTATATAAACATGAGTATTACAGGTGTTTTCTGTGCAGCCCCTGAAAAGGAAGTACCTGCTCTTTCACAAAATGCTAGAGAAATGTGAAACATTTTAACTCTTTCTTGATTGAAAGCAGTCAGTGAGTCACTTTTATTTTTTGCATTTTTTGCACAATTTTATTCACCACTCTTAAATTATTAATAAAGTCAATTCTCTCATAAGCAAGCTTGTTTTCAAAGTAAGGTGGATTGACTTTCATATAGCAACACTTCCATTACCACTGTATTCCTTCCTTGATGAAAACTATTCTGTAAAAACTATAAAGTTCTGTAAACTTAAAAACTAAGCATATAAATCATTACCACTCCTTTTGTCCTACCATGTGTCCTGGTTTGCATCGTAAGCAAGTATTTCTCATCCAGTTTTTGCATCAGTAACCCAGGAAATTACGCTTTCATTTCTGATTTGCCTTTCCTATTACAGGTCAACAAAAATCTCTCATTTACCTCAACACCGGCCTCCTCACAACAGTCTAAGTTAAAACAATCAAATGTGCTGGATGCTCAGCAGATTCTACGTCAGTTTGGTTTCACTCAGACCGGTGAGCCCCTTTCTTACTTTGACTAGTCTTTAAATGTTCAGATGCCATTTTTTTAATGGACATCATTTATTTCACTTCAGAAGCACAGGTCATAGCGTTGTACTGGTCAGTTTTCACACTTGATGAATTATATCCCAGCATTTTTTTTTCTTTAAAAATCACTGAATTCTTTGGTAGATTTGAATTTGGTAGCTTTAATAGTAGATACTCTCAACCTCTATTCTGTTGAGCAGATAATAATTTAAAAGTAGCAAAACTTGTGAGTTTTAAACATGTATAATATTAAATCTGATTCAATTTCCCTTAGATAAAGGAACCATATAGTTTTTGAATGATCGCATTTTATAATTCATTTCAAAGAAAGACCAGATAAAATACATGTTGGTAGAAACAGGATGCAACCTACCTGTAATATCATGTTTCTTCAAAATTGGCAAATTAACAAAATATGCAGAGAAGCTAGTTATAAAAATGTACATCAGTCACTGAGTTGAAGCAAACTATACAGTTGCAAATTTTCAGGCTAGTGTTCTGAATTAATTTGAATACAGTTTTCAAAGGATATCAAAGAAGAAACATCTAGGTGAGAAATACGTATTTTTGGTAGTGAAAGATGATGATTTCTCTTCATTAGCTATAGCTTTTGTAGTATTTTTTCTACTGAATTCTTTTAGAAGGTGAGACAGCTGCGAGTAACAAAATAGTTGTGTTTGACGGAGACCTATAAGAAGAAGAAGAAACTTGAGGTTGTTAAGATCAATATGATTTATTTAGAAATTTGGGAATAATACTACTTTTCTGCTGTGAAAGTATGTGGAGTTTATATATGCAAGTTATTTGAATATTCTTGCATTTTAATAACACTGTACAAGTTACATATTACAAAGGGAAAATACTTGGACTAAGAACTCTTACATTCTGATTCTTGGCCGTACCTTTTATTATCCAGATTATTATGTGCAAACATTAGAACTGTCATTTCAAAACTAGAAATGATGTTTACATTGTATATTGTTGAAGTTCAAATCACATAGCACTTATGAAAACACTCCATAAGCTTAAGGTGCTATATGAATATAACATACTTATATTGTAAACATGTGAGTATATGCTTTGAAAATACTTTGAGTTCAAATGACAGTTATCCAAAACCTTAGAAGTTTTTAATTTCTAGTGTTTCCGATATCTGCCAGAAATCAGAGCAATAGTTTTGTCCATTCTTCTGTACAATGGAGGGCCCAGCATGCACCACTCCCGTAGACTTATTCTCTAACTTGATACTTGGCTGTGCCTTCAGACAAGTCATTTTACTGACTTGCGGGGAGGGAACCTATCCCCACCACTGATCCTTGTCTCTCTGCTAAGGTCTCAAATTCTCCTAGGAACAAATCTTTCATTTCACACTTCAGAATTAAGGGCATAGGACATAAGTGCTAGTTGAATTGGCAGATTGATTAAAGTTCATTGGAGTAGTGTCTTAAGTTTATCAAGCAACCATCTGTAAATAATAGCTATAAAATTCTTTATTTTTCTGTAAGTGGAAAGAGCAGAGAGGCTATATAGGAAGGCCTTTGAAATGGAAGAGTGATTGCTACTGTGACAGATGAAGATAAAGATAGAGAATGAAAGGAAAGCCAGGTATGATAAAGACAAGCTTGACGTTTATACAGAGGGCTGGCTCCACTTACCTTCAGCTTTCCACGACCATATGGGCCCTGAGTGGAGCTTTTCTGTCCTGCATGTCCTCTGTGTAGGCACTATCCCAGCAGCATGTACCATTAAGCCATGCCATCCATGGTAACACTTGACTTGATTTTTAGTTATTAATATGCCTGACCTCATTTTAAGGCAGATTCTTCCTATAAAATTTACTGAGACATCACTGTATAGAAAATTATAAAAGCAAAATATGTAGTTCATTGCAAAGTGGCCAGATTCATCTTAGTCATTAGGAAGCCAGTCTTTGTGGGAACAAATCCTGCACAAGGAAACAGGTGAACTAGTTTCTACACTTCTAAATGGTTATAGACTCCCGAGTAATTTCTGCAGGCCTCAGTTTTCTCACCCCTACAGGTCAGTGAGGGCTCTGGATTTGGTGAGTTTCTGTCTTAAAAATTCTGAATATTTAATATTCAAACCTGTTTTAAAAGGGGATAAGTGGTTAAGTGTTCTTGACTGTACACATAATCTATTAGAATCTGAAATAAAGGACTGTGGAAACAATGTAGTTGGATGTTTAAAAATAAAACTCTTGCTGAAAACCTATCTAAATATTCAATTCATATCTTTGGATGTTTGGTTTTGTGCAGTATAAAGAAAGGCTATTTACACAGAACTAATCAATAATGACCCACTAACCTTCATGCTAGAGACTTAAGAGGAGATATTGATTTGATATTGATTATATATGAGTGAGTTTATATGCTGGCAAGCTAGACTCAGAGGTGGGTTTATGGTCTGCTGTAACTTCTTTGGACCTTATTCAGGGTGAGTTCTAAGTAATGGAGACCCCTAAAAAAGTAAGTATTTCTTTCTCCTTTGGTTTGTAATCTTCAGAGTTTCTAGAATACTACCTTTATTTATTCTAAAATCATTTTAAGTGGCTACATTGTTTAAGACCCCTTCTTAAGGCTATGGGCTAAATGTTACAGTCTCCATTCTCAACAAGCCTAAAGTCTGTTTGGAGAGACAAATGAGCATGCAACAAATTAACGCCAGTGTGATTAATTCTAAAAAACAAAGCGTCACTGGAATAGAGTGGGTAAAGCAACTAAGCAGTCTCTCATGCTTTACATGTCCAAGCAGAGCCCTTGCCCTCAAATCCTCCTCTGTCCACCTCCACTTCCCCTGCCCCACACCCGGTCTCCCCACCTCAGCAGTCCTGGCACATGTACCCCATTGTTCAGGCAGAAGCAGCAGCCTTTCAGGATCCCCCCTCCCCTTCTCTCTCCACTTCCCTGCTTCCACTTTTGTCCGTTAGCTTATTCTACCCAAAGTAGACAGTGTGATTCTTTGTAAAATAAATTGTTACTTCCCCTGCTTAAAATTCCTAATTGGCTTTCTATCATAGAATGAGTTTCAGAGTCCTTACCATCTCTCATAACTGCTGTATCAGTATAACACATATTGTAAACATGATGAGTATGTGTACAGTAGCTTTGAAAATACTTTGGGTTCTAATTTTAAGTCACTGTAATAATTAACAATTATCCCAATCCTTAGAAATTTAAATGGTCTTGCCTCTATCTTTGTCATTGACCTCATCAGCAGCTGGGAGCTCAAGAGGACACACCAAGCCAAGAAGTGGGTAACTGAACATATAATTAGAAGAGAGCTTGGTTTGGCTAGGCAGTGGTTTGAATCTTAGGCTAGCTGGAGGAAATGGTGAGATGGATGTTTAGGAGAAACTGAGTCTGCAAAGGTAGATTGGGGTCAAATGGTACCCTACTGATAAATTCACATTTTATTCTCTAGGTAAGATAGAGCTATCCAAAGGTATGAGGATGAAGGAGATATGATGAAATGTGTTTCTAAAAAATACAGCTGGTGTCTCAGTGAGGGATGGGTTAGAAAGGAAAAGAGCTGGATATGACTCTTACGAGATACTTATTGTAGGAACTGTTCATAAGGCTGTTACTCTAGACTCTGAATTAATAAAATAATGAATCAGCTAATTTTATTATAATTAAAACCATAAATCTTCCCTTAGTAATTTGTATAAGAAAGAAAATTATAAAATTTTATTTGTCAGTTATACCTTAATGGAGCTGGAAAAAAATTTAATTTTAAAGTTTTATGTTAAATTGTAGGTTATAGCTCATAAATGTCTCACCATATAGTGAACATGTTATACTGCATCTCCAAACTCCGTACTTCCTAGTATAATGAGGAAAACCTGTAAAACAATGACATCAACTTCTGTTAGTATGAAAAAATTATTTTTGTATATATATTCATTTGATCCTCTACAGAACTCACTAAGAAGTAGGGTAAACATTAAAATCATAAGGAGTAAACTCATTTGACAGCTTCTAGTACCTTAAACCTTTGACTGTCAGTCCCCTTGGAGTGAAAGTGAGAAGCAGAGGGGCTGACTTGGCACAGTTCCCGTGGCTAGTGGCAGTCATGTCTGAAGCAGGATCTCCTCACCCCTAGCTCAGTACTTCCCACCCGTGCCACCACCCTACTGCCTGCCTCTGTCTAGAGCCGGGCACTGGCCCAGAGGGGAAGTGGACCCTTGGTGAGGCTGTACCTGGAGCCACTCCTTCATTCCTGGCCCATTGTTCTTCCACTCTGCCCAGTGGTCCCTCTGGGCATGAGTGTTACCTTTTCTTACTAGCTCTAGAGGTCTGTGATATATTTATTGCAAAGGAATAACCTGGTACTTTTCACAAAGGTATTTTCTGAGAATTAGTGAACTTATCTTTTTATTTGACCTTTAAATATAATTCTAGGTTTACTAGTCATTAGATTTCTCAAAGCCTAGTTCCAGTGAAACTGGTATTTAGCCTCTAGTCAAATCAAGAGATTCTCTGCAGAGAAATTTTGCTCTGTGATAGTTGATGTGAATCCCAGATCCCATTCGACCATCTCAGGAATCCTTATTATGGTAGTAAATTTTAACATGTGGATTATTCAGTAATAAATAAAATGAATCTGAGTTATGAGGGTAGAAATCAGCAGGAAGTACTTACCATCTTTGTGTGTCTGTATTTGAAGGACAGCATCTTTTGTTTTTTGTGTACTTACATCTTTTCATAGCATTGTGCTAAATTTAATTTAATTCGTATCAGTAGATAAGTAGTAATGCAGAATCAAATGATTCATTTTTGTGAACATAACTATTAATGTAATATTTATATCATCTTTTCTAATTGTTGACTTGGAGTATGCTGGGGTGCAGAATGTGACATGGCCTTCAAAAACAGTCAGTAGCTTCTGTCTTCTCCATATTTTTTTTGCATTCTCCTTTAGACCATATAAATATATATTAAACTTGA